GTAAAGGTCATGAATATCAATGTCTTTATTGCCAAAAAGAACTTTGATATCTAAAAATTGGAAGCAATTAAAGATGGAGCTATAATGGTCATAGTAGGTACCTACACAATTTTGGCGAGTGAAAAAAGTGCGCCTGTTGCCGCCGCCTTGGAAGTGGGTCGAGGCGGCAACGTCGCATAGCGGTACCGGTCGCGGAGCGGCAACGTCGCCGCACCGCGGTGCAGCGTTGCCACATGTCTCTTCAACAAAATTCGGGCTCGAAACATTCAAGTGAAAGAGAACCCATTCATTAACAATATTGCAAATTCTTATCGAACATTCGATACAATCAATCCAATGTCAATCGAGTATCCTACCTACTTGCATGAATAACAAAAATTATCAAAACGAAATGTAGTATTTTGTATAGATATCTGCGTACAAAACATAAATTTATGCCTGTACAATAGGTATACAGCTCGAGCTACGAATACAACCTATAAATTACTTGAACGATTTACGTCGCAACAAATCATTAGAATGAACGCCCGTTACTGCATCTGCTGGTTCGAAAAACGATCAAATAAACATTTGGTGTAACCAAACATCAGATTATCGTTTAGAAACGTAATATTTGTTGTACTTAATTATATGCTAACTCGCACTTGAATAGATATAATAATTCAAAGATTTAAGACTAGTCAAAGTAGGTTTATAATGCGATTCATTCTACAGATTATTCAACGAAACGAGTTGGTTTTGGCTTTCCCTTTTTCTAAATGACGTATTAGCCAATCCCTTGTCTGAACATTTATGGTCATAGAAGAAAATTCACCATCATTTAAATGAAGCCCGAGACATAAAGTATGGTTCTAAAGAACGGGAATGTAAAAGACAAAAGAGAATCCACATAATGTTCGAGATGTGGTTTGAGATTGCTTATTTCAAAGAGTATTTGATGATATGGGATTCATAACTTATCATCTAAGAGCGGTTAAACGAGTGGTACGTAGGGTACATACCTATACATACACTCTCGCTTAGGGACCGCTTCTAAAAACATGGACATGTTATAAAATGTTTATCATGTGAAAAGTTAAGGGATCGAAATTAACCCATTTTCTTGTTACAAGGGCTCCTAGTCCTACTGTTAGGTGATCCAAGAACTTTTTGAGTTGAAAGTGAGACAGATTCCAGTACAAACTACACTTTAGATAGATACCAAGGACTCCTTGAACGTTCTCGGTTACGTAAGCTCCTATATACCTAGCTATCTATGTAATTAAATCCTTTAATAGACTCTTGTGCTGTGTCTGAGAACTTAAAGGCCTATACGATACTTAATTAAAATATCGTTTCATTATTTTACTTGAGAAAACCAATTAGCCCAATTAGTCCAAAGAAGCACAAGGAAAATGAGTACCTTGTCTATCTAAATAAAAAAAAACGTTTGTGCAAAAAACAAACATCTATGGTACGATTCAAAAATTGATTTCTTTTGAGTATTACTATACTCTATGATTGAAATCATGTGCCACAGAATATAAATTCATAGAAGAATAGTTTCGTTACATCACATAAACATTCTATTTTCGTATTACTCTTTCATGTGTTAAAAGAGAATACGTAATAAATAGAAGGTAGGAGCAAGGAATGTCTGCAGCTTGTCCATTCGCGCGTCGGGCAAAGTCGACCGAATCGATAGTTGTTTGTAGGTGAGAAGTGTTCTGGTTCGACAGCTACGCAAACTGAACAGAATTTCAACGCTGAGTGCTTTTAGTTTAGATAGATATCCACTTTACCACAACTATTGATATAGACAGAAATTGTTATATTTGAGAGGTTTTCAATTAAATAAACTTTCGTTTCTATTGAACATTGGCCGAGTGGTCGCAAGTGCGACAGCCGGGCAAGGGGTTTCGGCTTCGATTCTCGGGTCGGGCAAAGTATTGCTGGGTTTTTTAAATCTCAGTAGTAGCACGGAGTCTGGAATCGTGCCCGGTATATGGCAAAAAGTTCACCCTCTATTACATGGGACTCGTAACATAACATCACGCCTTTTATCCCCGAAGGGGTAGGCAGAGGTGCACATAGAAGTAACACCCACTTTTACTCGTTCGACTCGTAACATAAATAGTGAAAAGTGGGTGTTACATTGTACAGTGGCATTAAGTACCGTAATGTGCACCTTTGTCTACCCCTTCGGGGATAAAAGGCGGGATGTTGTGTTATGAACATTGTGGCTAGGTTAAAATACAAGAAAGCCAGCCAAACAAAAATAAAATCTTATACTATTGTATACGAGGTGGCGCTCCACAAGTCCGAGGCCATGTGTTTTCATGGCCGCGGGAATGCGCCACCTCCTGGTGGGTCTCAAATAATGGCGGGAGGGGTTACCATCGGCGTCGAGACGGCGATGAAGTACCTGGGACTCGTCCTCGACAGTCGATGGAACTTCGTGGAGCACTTCCGACGTTTGGCTCCAAAGTTGGCGAGGGTGGGGGCTGCGTTTAAGCGCATCCTCCCCAACCTCGGGGGGCCAAACGCCTCCTGCCGGAGGTTATACGCCGGGGTCGTGCGGTCCATGGCCCTCTACGGCGCCCCTGTTTGGGCGCCGAACCTGCTGCAGCGGCCCGCTCGGGCGCTGCTTATGGCACAGAGGGTCATGGCGATCCGAATGATCCGCGGATACCGCACGATCTCTGGGGAGTCGGCGAACCTCCTTGCCGGATTACCGCCGTGGGATCTGGAGGCGAAGGTGCTCGCGCGCGTGTATCGCATGCGCGCGGAGGCACGTCGCCGGGGCGAAACTCCGCTGCCGCGCCAGATAAGTGCGTGGCGGGATGAGCTCCGGCGCGATCTCATGGCGGAATGGCAGCAACGACTGTCGCAACCGAGGGCTGGGCTCGCTGCCATTGCAGCGGTAAGTCCCCTCTTTGAGGAGTGGCTTGAGAGACGCTACGGCGTCCTCACCTACCGCCTGACGCAGGTCCTCACCGGACATGGAAGTTTCGGGAGGTACCTGTGTCTGATGGGGCGGGAGGAAACGCCCGGGTGTCATCACTGCGAGGACCACCCTGAGGACACGGTGGAACACACTGTTGCGGAATGCCCTGCGTGGGCTGAGCACCGCCGTGCCCTCAGGGAAGTGATCGGCGATGGAGACCTCTCGCGTCCGGGCCTAGTTCAGGCCATGATGCGGAGCGAGGGGGACTGGGATGCCGTCTCCTCCTTTTGCGAAGCAGTCATGCTGGCTAAGGAGGAGGCGGGACGCGTGAGGCAGCGAAGCGCTGCCTCCTCGCAACCCAGCCATCGCGAAGGACACACCGGGCGTCGGGGATCGCGGGACGATCTCCGGCCACCGTAAGCGCGGGCCTGCGGACGGCGAGCATGGGTGGCTCCCCGTCCGACCAGAAACAGACCCGAGCGTACGGCGCGTCGCGTTCCGCGCGCGCCTCAAAGAGCCATCAGACCACCACAGATGGGGCCCAATAGGGCCGATGCCGATTCGGAGTCGCGGAGAACCTAACGGGTAACCGGGGCTCCGGCTCGACGTGCAGGAGAAGGAACGGGGTGGTTTTTAGTCAGTAAGAGTCTGACACTCCCTTCCGCCTCACCCGGGCGGGAGCAGTCATTCGATGATTTTCCCCCCTTAAAAAAAAAAAAAAAAAAAAAAAATACTATTGTATAACGCTGAAGAATTTGTTTATTTGTTTGAACGCGTTAATCTGAGAAACTACTAGTCCGATTTGAAAATATCTTTTGTGGTGGACAGTCCATTTATCGAAGAAGGTTAGGCTGTAAAACATCACGCTACGATCAATAGGCGCCGAGCAGAGCGGGTGAAACCGCGGGGAAGTATCTAGTCATTTATAACTTAATTACCGACGTCCAATCCAGGCTCTAATTATTAAAAATAAATATTTATAGTCTCTAAAAAACCTTTTTGTGTAAATTTAGTACGACGAAGGTTTAGCGTGAAAACATGAAAAGTGCATCAAACTAAAAAAAAGTCAAAGCGGTCTGTGCGTGCACGGTTTGGCAACGTCGCATGACCGAGCGCGGTTGGCCGCACGCTCTTCGCTCGCTGGCTACAAAACACAAGACGCAGCAGTTACGGCAGGCCTCTTACCTCTCTACTCTACTCATGTATTTAGATTACCCACTAGCTGAAAAACGAGATGAATAGACACAAGATTTACAGTATTGCAATTACGAAGGTTGAACATCAAAATCTGAAGATAATTTATTATTTATTAACTAGCGACTTTTACTAATCAAAGGATAGCGATCTCTGAATCTCTGTACTAACTCTGTACATTTTATTTTCGAGTTTCGAGGTTCGCGTGGTGTAAGTTTTTCTCTATGGTTGCGGTCGCATGGTGCAGTCGCACGCAGCCACAAAGATACTTCTAAATAACTTCAAATAGTTAATACTTTTTAGTAAACATGTTTACAACATCAAATTCAAAGCAGTTGTGCCTACTTGGTGCCTAGATTTACAATTGAACCTAGAATGAATAAAATGAGAATGTTTTTCGAATTTTCGTACCTACGATATTTTATATAAGATAAAAATACAGGTGGTCAAACTACATACCAAATTAAAAAATAAAGGGCATTTCACAAATTCACAATTATTGGCTTTTAAGTTTTTGACTTTTGAGGACATTTTTAATTTTTTCCGACATGGTGTCGACTGTAGACTGCGATGCGAATTATGAAACAATAATTTAAGTAATTTGTCAATAACAATAAACGAAAATAACACAGGTATGTAAGTACATTCTTATCGTGTTCAAATGAATCGATTCGATAAAGTTTACGACACGGCGACACGCCAGTCGCAGTGGGCGGGCATTCAGTCAGCGGAGTCGCAACGCGACCAATCACGAGAGTCGAGCGTGCGCACAAACGTGCGATAATGCGTCAGTCGCATCGAGCCCCGCTGCGGAGGTGGCGTTTTTTTCGTCGCAATTATAACTACGCCTTTATGTCGTCGATTGAAGTGATTTGTCAAAATGTCAATGTTTAATCCAGTTCAATTGATAGATGAAGTAAAAAAACGGCCCGGGCTGTACAAACCTGATCATCCTGCCGATCGGGAAGAGAAATTGGCGTTATGGAAGGAAATAGGATCAGTTATTTACCATGGTTGGGAAAATTTCAACAAGGCGACAGCTTACGACAGAGGTTAGTATACACACGAACCTAACCTCTGTTTCTTAACATGAGTCACACAAAAATATTATTATAATTCTTCCCACGTGTTCTAATCGTTTTTACTAAACTTATAAACATAGACTAACTCGACAATACAGACCTCTTGTATGTATTTAAGTAATTTAATAGAATGCGTAGGTAATGTTTGTAATACAACTTTATTTTTGACAATAAGCGTCGTGCAGTTTTTGGCGCTGCGCACTATACATTGGCGCTCGATTTGTAGTCTGTCTGTCTATCCTGCGACTCGGATGCAGCGGAGCGGTGCGATTGATGATAAACGCGGCCCGCTATCCGTTTCCCGCCCTTTTGCCCATGTTGGACGCGTGGTTATGGCATGGCTACATAGTTTACGATTTAATAACTAGGCTCAGTAAGGTAACGGCATATACGTACATAGTTATAATAACATTTCTTATTAACACTGTTGTGATGAGTTTCATGAGAATAAAGTATAATAATAGCTAGGTAATTTAACTAATTTATTCATTTCCACACACGATGGCGACATCAAATAATGAAGATTCAATTAGTCATTTGACATTTACTTATCTGGCGTGTTGCTACGTTATGTTTTTGCATTTTATGATGGAAAATTAAACATTTACCTATTTATGTTCAGGTATTTGACCGCATTAAATTAGTCTGGCGTACATTTTAATAATGGGTGCTACAACAAACGTGTAATGTAATTTGCATGCCGTGGCGTAACGTGTGTGCGAAACTGGCTAAGTTCGTTAAATATGAACGCAGTATGTTATGCCATTTACTATGAATCATAATGTTCATTACAACCAGATGACGGCGGAAATTTCTACTTATAGCTGGTTCACTGATTTAATCATATTTTTAGCGTCTCAAAAACAAGTTTAATTAGGGAATGGGTATTGAAGTTACCGAGATAAGGTCGTCCAACCAATAAATAGCTAGCTTGAACCGTTGAAGCCAGTTTACAATGACAAAGTACCTACGACTTACAAGTTTGTAAGCATTAACTTCTTTCTTATTCGTCTAAAAATAAACAAGTAATAAAGAAGATATTGATACAAACTTAAAAAATATAGACAAAACATGTAGGAAATGAATAAAGAGAAAACTGGTACACGTCAAAGCGACAAAGTGTGACCAAACTTTGTCAGCAAGTCCAGTTAATAAAAAGGGGAAATAGTCTTGGTAGACACGAAGAATGAACTTGCGACAAAGCGTCAAATACGCAAGCACAGAGACGGAATCTTTGGTGGCAATAAAATTTCTTCTATGTTTATAGTTTAGTGGTATCTGGCTGGTGGTCTGGTCTGATGGTAGTAACAGTTAAAAGCAAAAGGGCAAAAAGGTTTCAAGATTTAAGAATTAAATTTTGGAACCTTTTTGCTAATCTGACGCTAGCTGTTATAAAAGGTAGTAAGATCATTTATTACCTCGATTTCGGGTCACTTGTGGGTTGGAACCACGTTGGAACGTGTCTGCAAAACTACGTCATTAGTGTTACTATATTTTCCAATTATGATTTTTAATTAGTTACATGAACAATGGAGCAATCATGACAAAAAATAGGAAATAAGTATAATTTTAGAAATTATTCTCAAAAACTAACAACTACTAATCCTGTCAATTTTCTTCAATAAAGTGTTACAGTTGCAACGGAAATGGCGATCGTTGAGGGACGCGTACAACAGGGAGCTGCGCGCGCGCAGGTCGGGAATCAGGATCAACAGGCGAGTGTATCGTTACTTCAAGAGGATGAGCTTCCTCGGAGGGTTCGATGGCACACTCAGCGAAGACGAGTATGTATTTAGATGATATAAATATTCAAACTCAAACTATGGTGCAAATGGTTAATGAAGTTTTCAATAAAATTAACATTTTTATCACCAGGGAAATGGATGAAGACATGATACTAGAGGGACATAATGCTGATGAAGAAATGCAAGTAGAAACGATCAAAGTGAAGAAAAATAAACGGAAAAAGAGGAAACGGGAGTCCAGTGAAGGTAGTCACCAGCCTCCAGAAGAATTAGAAATGCCCATGTTCCCAGTAGAAATTGCTGAAAGTGAGACGGACAGTGATAGACTCTTCCTTCTTTCTTTTCTACCTGAAATGAGGCAGCTCCCAATTAATATAAAGATGTGGGTTAGGGCACAGATAGCAAATGTTATGCAGGAGGCCGTCTCCTGCCACTACAATAACACACGGCCAGGGTCTTCTGGAGACAAGAACTGCATGGACATCAAACGGCAAAGGCATGACAGTACAGAATGAACTGATAGATACTTCCGAATAGTTTTATTGGTGCTCTTACAAAGATTTAAGTTTGTTTTAAAGATTATTAATTATATTTTATGTTGTTGTTTTATCTGTAGCAGAAGATAATAAATGGATCGGAAATGTAGACTATTTAAGTAAGATTTAATATAAATGCGATCTTGTGCTCGCAGGGTAATGTACATTGCAAGAATATGTACAGTACCTATTCTTAACAACATATGAAGTTCATACAAGTATGTTTATGTAACCAACATGACTTACTCCCATAACAGTACGCCAAGATCAAAATAAAAGAATACATCTAAAATATGGACTATATCCAAGTCTGTTGGCAAAAACAGAGTTTACGATTGTTACTTTTGTTTTGTTATTAGTTACACTAATATAATCAGAACCGTTTTTGGCAAGAGGTCAAATAACAAGCAAAAAAAGTTGTTTTGCTTTATTTACTGCTGCGGTATTTCTAAATATTATACGTATTTCAACTATTACAGTGGAGACTAAAATTAGTTATGGTTACGAGAATAAAATCCGCCATCTTTGTTTTGTAAATACATAGATAAAAATTATTTTGTTTAAGCAGTGTTACCAATGTTGCCGTTAAAATAAATATTGATTTTGTTATAAAAATTCAGATGACCTGATGATTATTGTATTTTTCTAGTCTCGATAAGCGTAATGAAATATAAATATTATATTTGAACTATTATAAAGCGTTTAAATGAAAGATATCACGTTGTTTTATCTGTTATTTATGTTTTTTAATGTTTCATTGGTTCAATGGTAGCAAGTAAAACCTGCTTAGCCAGAGACTTCAGATTTCTATACTTGAAAGTTAAAAATGAAATATATAAAGTCACGCCTATTTTATTAATTAGATAGAGATATATTTTTAAATTTTTTATTTTCTTTTATTTTGTTATTTACCTTCATAAACCTACCTTATATTTTATTCTTCATCATTTTTCGTTACGACGTTCATTTTAATTAAATAAACATTTTCAAAAATTTAAGATGAAAGTGGATGTACTAATACTACTAATTTATTCTGATTGGCAACAATATGGTTCATGGAAATTTTTATAGTCATTTCAAGAATTGTTGTTTTATAATTTCAGTTACAGAATCCTTGTTTCATTTAAATTAGACGTTGGTACAATAAAGTTATATTTTGTAATATCATTGTTTCCTGTTTGTTTAAGGTAATAAATGTTATTCCTTCCTTCTTAAGTCCTATTTGTATTATTTTACCCCACACGACACGACTGTCGGATCTCATGATGTGTTGATTTTTACCTGTAACAAACATAGAATTGGTTAATTTAAGTATGTCTAAGATTTTGTGTACACGAACACTAGCAAGACCTAAAATATATATACCAACATCCAACAGTTTGTGTAAAAAGAATCAAATCAATTGATGATCATGGGGGTCGTGATGGAGCACACACGACTACGGAAATCAAGTAAGATACAAACGGACGAGCCGTTTGTAAATATTTTAAAGAATCGGTAGGTTAAGTAAGCTGTAGACGACAATTTCAAGGCAATTTGAAAAATGCAAAACGGAAGAAGACGTAACTACGAGACGTAAGTAAAAGTCGGACAAAACCTTCGAACAATGCGAACTTGGCATGGCACTTTTAAACTGTCAAACACCAAGCGGTCACCGGTGACCGCGACCTATTGTTCTTTAATTGTGTCTATAAAACCGGTACTCGACGAGTTAAGCAAGAAAAAGTTATAAAAACGTGCCAGAATTTTTCTGGCTTCCGCCATATCTTTGGTTGAAATGCAAAACTTGGGAGTCTGGGAGCAGTTGGGGGAGTTCGCGCCCTAAATTGTAAAGTTATGCGATTATTCTGAACTTTCGCAATAATTCTTGGGAGTTTGCACGCTTTGCCTTTATGCATTAGCGGGATATTCTCATTTCCTTCACGCTACATCTGCGGGTAACGTTATTGCTTAGTCGTCTACTAAATTACCTTGTTTTTGCATACATACATTAGGTAACCAAACTATTTCGAAAGAAGTCAAATAGATGTTATAGGTATGCAGATATTATAACAAAACATTGAAATGATTACAGCTGAAGGCAGCCCTCAAACTAATTGGCAAAAGGCTAGGATAGGCAAACATTCAAGCAAAGCCTATCAAAACAATGTCATCAACGATAACTTTGGAAAATAACACGAAGTCTCGTATAACTTTAGTGCAACGTGTAGTACTATTAAACATCAAATTTTAATCAACATGCTTTATGTAATGAACACGGCGTAGGACCGTGGAACATGAACCGGTTTCAAGGAAAAAACAAGAATATTAATTTGCGTTGCAACGCTAAATCTTGTATGACATGTCAACTATAAATCCTTTATTAAACTGTGGTGTTAAATAACAGTATAATAATTCACATAGCTATTACATTGTATACGACCACCCACGGACTTAGGAGTGGCCTAAGAAATGCTAGTCACGAACGTTAAATAAACTTTAACTAAAGCTAAATCTAGGTAATTTAAGAGTAACCGGCAAAACACCCATGTCTAACGGACAGTGTGACGTATACTCAAAAAAATTTTTTAAGTATAGCCCGGCAATTCTTTTTTAAACTTTCCGTCAGCTTTATTATAGAATAAAAAATTCAGTACTTACTAAAATTAAGAAGTTAAACCGTTTACAGGTTTAACTTGCCCTTAAACATAAAATATTTAAACGATACAATTTTACTAGCCTCAGATGACAATGTTGACGCTAAAACAACGAAACAAGCCCGCCATGCAGTAAGCAATTCTTTTATATCAAGTCTCTAGTCTGTATCTTTTTAATAATACGGTGTCTGCCTTGTACCTACTGTTTTTAATTGGTAATAATATATTGAACTATGAAATGTTAATTTTAAAATCCAACCCTCTATCGATCGTATTTTCCGTTTTAGATAGAATTTGTAGCAGACAAGCAAATATATTTTATATCAAACAGAAACCTTGTACACCCTCCATATCTACCTAAAAAAAAACAGTATCATCAAAGTAAGAGAGATAAGGTCAAATGATGCCCAAAGGTCTCTTTAAAATACAACAAGAAAATAACATTAGCCCCAAAATAGATCCCTGTGGTACGCCTACTTTGCTGTCTTGCAAAATAGCCTAAAAAATAAAGTTTTCTTGGGTTTAAGGACAAAATGGGTTTATGAGACGAACCTTCTTTGTCACTTTTTAAAGAAATTCAGCGTTTTGCAAAAAATCTTCATAAAAGTAGAAAGAATCTAATGAAATAACCAATAAGTATAGAAACTAAGAAACATGGAGCTAATAAAATAAGCCAAGCCTATCGACAGTGTCGGCATTGACAGTAGAATAACTGTACATAACATTACTACAAATATGGAAGCAGATAATCATAAGACCGACACACACGCGGAATTACAATCAAAGAGATAAAAATAAACCCTACCGAGCTAATTGATTCATTTGATTATATCATGTAATAATAATGTGTAGGTATAGAAATAACCTACGTCATTCAGATTACTACTAGACAATGCTGTAAACAAATGTATTACAACAAATTAAAACAAAAACTGACGACACGACGACGCGACGCCGGCGATCGGCGTGCGCGGTGCGGTTCGATGCGAATGCGATGTTGCCAGACCGTGCACGAAACGCAGCTGAGGGGCGGCGGGCCGCTGCGACCCCGCTGCGTCATTCCGCGTCGAACGTCCGTACCGGTTGCCGTGTGGTTGTTAGTCGCTGCGAAATCGCGACGTTTTCCAAAGTGTGTCAACCATGAGTTCTTATAGCCTCGACGTGGAAACTTTTATAAGTGAAGTGAAGAAGTATCCTGAAATATGGGACACTAACTGTGAAGACCATCGGTTCAAGAGTAAGAAGCAGAACGCGTGGGCCGAGATAGCACGTGTATTTATAACAGACTTTGACGAAATACCAAATAAGGAAAAAATCGATGTTTGTAAGTATGGCCGACACTTTCCACGAATCATGCGCATGTAAATTATATACAACGTTCAATAGGCACTTGAAGAAGTGTTACAAATATCAAGCAGATTGATAAGATAGGGTTACGTTATGTAGGTTTAGGTCTTGGTACCAAACTGGATTTCAAAGTAAACATATAAGTAGGAAGTTAGGTAACTTTCTTTGAACTTGAAACTTAGAACAGAGAAACAATTTTCGAGAACATTCCACATGGACGTAACATACATAAAACTAACATTTACACGTTTTAAAAATCATCAACAGTCGACACAGCTCAGGAAAGGTAGTGTGAATAGGCAATCTCGATATTTTATTTACATAAAAACAACGTGCTCGAACCGGCGAGCGTATACCTGCGAAATGCGTCACCTTGAAACCAGAGGTCGCGACTCGTGGTTGGGCAACTAGTCGCCGGACTGATCGAGTTCGTTGTCGTACCAAAGCGGCAACGGCTTGCCTTTCGCCGTGCAACATCGACGCATGAATGCATTATATCCAAGATTATTCTCGGTAGCTTCAATGCTTAGGCACTTTGTATTGTACTTACAGGTAGTTTTAAATTGATTGTGACCAGATTTAACTAAATCAGATTTTATTTACATTTTATCATCCTACTCTTGGATACGATAAGAAGCATAATTATTTGGGTTTAGTTACGACTATAAGATAGGTAGTTGGTAGTATAAAACATAAAAGATAACAATTATAGGTAGGTAGTTTTACTTTAGTCGTTCATGCAGCTGAAGATTCACGCAGCTTTGCATAAAATGCCACGCAAATTAGATTAGAATTAAATTCATCTTCGATTTCGTGATTGACAGAAGAAGAAAGATTAAAACAAATATTACGCATTTCCAGATCGTAAACTGCACGGAAAATGGAGAAATATAAGGGACTCATTCGTGCGTCATCGTAAAAGAAAATACGGCAAAAGGGGATACGTGTACGCAAAATATTTAACGTTTTTGACTGACTTGTATAATACTAAGAACA